ACACTAGACAGAGTTTATTGATTTCTGCCCGCAAGCCTGTGTCTCCTGTTTCTTCCCCGCCTTAGTAAATGGCACACCATCCAACCAGTGGCTCAGGCCGAGAACCGCAGGTTAGCCTGGTCATCTCTGTTTGAGTGTCCCCAAACCACCAGCGTGTCTGGTGGCTTCTTAGAACACACACTGACTTGCCTGCTTTTTCCATCTCTGCTGCACTCACTATGATCCAGCCACCACCGCCGTGGTGCCTCACCTCAACTACTGTGGCATCTTTCCAAGGTCTTCCTACCTCCTCTCTCAGGCCCACATACCCTCTCCACACAGCAGCTGGAGAGGTCTTTAAAAACAAGTGAATCCAGTGATCCCCCAAGCCACCTACACTTCTGCTATCACCTTGTCCCATGTCCCATCATACACCTGCCCCTCTCCATGCTCACACCCACATCGACTCTTCTTTGTAGCTGCTCTCTGCTCTCCCATCTGCCTGGATGCCCTTTCCTGGGTTCCACCTGGCTGGCTCCTTCTTTGGATCCAGGTTTTAGATTACATGACCATCTCTCCTCGGAGAGCCCTTCTCCGACTGCTATCAGAGGGTGTTTTCCCTTGACTTGGTTTTATTTCCATCAGAGCGCTCTTCGCTATCTGAAATTATTGTATGTGTTCATTTTTATGTGTTTGCTTTTCTCCCCCTAGAACACCAGTCCTTTTCACATGCTGAAACTACCATAGTCCTTAATTTTTTGTTTTCTGTTTCTGTCCCTACTTGAATGTAAGCTGCAGGAAGGAGAGCCCTATCCAGTTCCTGGCTTTGTCCTGCTAGCACAACAAACAATATTTGTTGAATTAGTAATTGAATGAATGAGTGAACGAACTTTAAACATGTCCACAGAATGAAGCTGGCTCTTAGAGAAAAGTAAATGTGGCATTAATCACCATTACCACAAATACAGAATAGAAACAGGGAAGATCCAATCTGCACAAACTGGATCATACCTGGATTACTGTACTTGGTTCTGGCCCCTGCACTACCACGAGGACAGGCAGTGCAGGCAGGAAACTGACCAAGTTGGCACGTGAGGGGAAACTTAGAAGACCAGAGATAATCAGCTATAGAAACAAGAAATCCTAGGAGGAATAGTGTTGCCATCTTTCAATATCTAAAGAGCTATTGAAGGAAAGAGGGGATTGATTTAGTTTACAGCCCTAAAGGTAGAATCCAGATCTAAAGGTATTAGTTTGATAGAGACAGATTTGGTATAGAAGAAAATGGTCTTTTTTTTTTTTAATGTTTTTTATTTATTTCTAGGAGAGAGAGAGAGAGACAGCGTGAGCAGGGGAGGGTCAGAGAGAGAGGGAGTCACAGACCGAAACAGGCTCCAGGCTCTGAGCTGGCAGTCAGCACAGAGCCCGACGCGGGGCTCGAACCCACGAACCGCGAGATCATGACCTAAGCGAAAGTCGGTCGCTTAACCGACTAAGCCACCCAGGCGCCCCGAAAATGGTCTTTTGACAGCCAGCTTTCATAGCAAGGGAAGGGGCTACTTTACAAAATGGTGAGCTTTCCATCTAAGAAAGCGTACCCGCGGTTAACCAGTTGGCAAGGACGTTGAGGAAGAGATTCAAACAGCAGAAGATGGCCTCCAATATCCCTTTCAACCTTGAGTTGTCTGGAGTTTTATGACATATAGGGATTGAGTCAAGAAAAACAATTCTGGCTAACAGGAGTTCTAGAACTTCCTTCTCTAGCCATCCTGATGGCAAAAAAGTATCACCAAAACCAGGTTTACAAATTAAGCAGCAGGAGCATTAGCTGAGAGGTATCTCATGGGCTTGTCACCATCTCAGAAACACACGGTACAGCTCACTGAACTTGAAATCTGTTGTCTATGTGTGACCATTCAGAACACCCGGCTGCCAAATATTGTAATGGTCCAAAAAGATGCTTCCTTTTCCAGGGGAACACAGCTCACACTATCTATCGCACAGTAGCTAAGAATGAACCTGGGTTTGCTTTCTGAAACTCCACCATTTCCTAACTGTAGGGCCTTGGGCAGAGAAATGAAACCCTCCAACATGTGACCTCATCTATAAAAAGGATTTCATCTAAAAAGCGGGGAGGGAGGAATTGACACAAGAATGGAGCAAACGTGATAATTAATGAGGCTTTGTGACAGACAGACACACAGACATTCACCATGCTGTTCTATTTTATGCATGGGAATAGCTGCAAAATAAAAAGTGAAGAGAGGGGGAGTTTGAAATAGTACCAACCTCATGTAATAATTGCAGGGCTTAAAGAAATCATCATCATCATTATTATTAGAAGGAATTTTTACAAATCCTAGTTATTACCATTATTACTGGGAATGTTTAAATATCCCATTTAATCATCCCAACAGCCCTCTGAAACAGCGGTAATCATCTCCATTTGGCAGATGAGGAAACTAAAGCCTGTATAAGTTAAACAAATCCCACAGCTGGTACAGGGCTGCAACGCGAGCTGAAACCCAGTATCCAACTCCACCATCACAGCTGCCTTGATGTCAAGAATAGCTCCTCGTGTTCTACTTGGTAGAGATCTACGCGGTTATGACATCGCTTATTCATCTAAGGCAGTGGTTTCCCAGCTCGGTTCTCAGCAGAGCCTGTTTTTGTTGTTGTTTTTTTTCCCCAAATGCAGCTTTTACTCAGGACTCCAGGAAGCAAATTCCAACAAAGCCAAACAGCCCTGGCTGAAGTGGGGATGGGGGCCCAGCAACCAGGCCTCTTGATTCGAGGGTGGTCCCTGAAGCACCCTAGGGTCTATGAGCATAGTGTGAAAACCCCACATTGGAGCCTGCAACAGCAACAAACCCCCTAAACTCTGAGAATTACATTTAAGGACAGCCTCTTTTGCATAATGCAGCTTTGGGTTTCCTGTCTCCACCACATGTAATCCTCATTATCGACTCTTGAGGTGGACAAGGCAGGGCATATCACCCTTAATTTGCAGATGAAAAAATCAAGGCCAAATGGAGTTTAGCAACTGGCCAAAGGTGCACCAGTTCACTTTTTAGCCAAGAGCAGACTGGAAGTAGAGTCTGTCTCCATTAACTCAGTGTGACCTGGCACAGAGGGTGCCATCTACTGGAAATTGCCACTGACCTTTGGTCCACAAAGTGGACAATCAGCTTCTTGGCCACTGAGAGCTAAGCACAGCCACAAGGGCCCCCTGCCAAGGCCCTGTCCCAGAGCAGATGGCCATAGGCAGGGGAGAGGGGCTCAATGCCACTGGAGGTCTGGACAGCAGGATTTTGGCAGTAGACAGGCCATTCCCATCCCAGCCATGTCATGCTGAGCACAGGGCACAGTACTTAATAATAGCTAAAGTGCCTTCCACCTTCACCTCCAGCCTAAAAGGGGACAGCAGGAAGGCACACCTGGGTAGTGGTTAGACTTCACCTTTCTTCCTAGCTCTTTCATAGAAATCCCTGAAACCAGACACATTTGATAATTGCCTAAATTATCCCCCACTCTGGCATCTCTGAGCTGAAGGGGAGCATGTGTTGGAAAAGGCGACACTTAATTATCACTTAGTCTTTAATTAGCGCTTAATTATTAACACTTAATCCATCTGTAAAATGGGGACACTAATACCTGCCTCATAGGGACTCTGTCTGGGAGGATTAATTAATGTTTGCAGCCCACTTTGAAGACGCCAAACATTGAACAAGGGCTCAGCATTGGCATTAATGATCATGGTGGTTTCCTTGCTCTTCCTAATGAGCTGTCTTGTCTTCCTCTCCTTGCAAATATCCATCCCCAACGATATCTGCCTGACTCTGCCCTGGTGGAGAAACATTTAGCTCTGTGTTTCCCAGACACAGGATTTCCCATCCAGGAAAAGGGCTATTTACAGCCATCTTCCCGCACTTTAATTTTCTATTATGTCCTCTGAATATGTCAATGCCTTCCCAGTAAATATTTTGATGTGCGCTCTTGCGGCGGCTTCTGTGGAGGCTGAATGGGACAGCTGCTCCCTGTATTAGGGAATTCCAGATGTGGTTTTAAACCACTAGATTCTTCCGTGCCAATGCCAAGCCTTTGAGGGGTGAGAAGGGGAAAGTATTACCCTGTTGCTTCCAGGCAAAGCCACGGGCATCTAACCTTCAGCCCCGGCCAAGGTGGGTTTTCCTTGTGCAAAATGAAAAATGTCCCCTTAGAGGGCTGATACAGACACAACAGAAATACAGCCCTTGACTGGCCCTGCACCCAGGTAACTCCAGGACCCAGTCACCTCCCTTATAAAGCTTGGACAAAGGACCACAACAGATGGAGGAAAAGTATACAGCCTTTACAGTTTAACCAGACTGAACTATGGGCCAGAACATTCCCCCAGAAGGTCCCACCTCTGCTCCTCCCTCCTCCCTTGGCACCAGTCACATAGGGGGACACTCACTCTTCTTGGAAGCTGAGCCCGTTGCCTCTTGGAGTCCCAGCCACGGGGTCAGAGAGCTGGTCCTTTGAGGTCCCGGGCTGCAAAGCCTCAGGCAGGCCTTGAACTCTCTTCCAGATTTCGTGGCAAGTCTTGTCCAGGCTGTCTTGGGGTGTGTCCTGGTGGACCCAGATGTATCTGGGGAATGGGCCCAGGGCGGAGGGGCGCTTGGCCACCAGGCCAGAGGATGAAGGGAGCCCATTCCCACTGGCCATCCTCCTCCTCTCTTTCCGGAAGCTCCTTTGTCCACCCAGGGCTCGAAGACAGGGGGACCATCCACCACGGCCCCTCATTCACCGGAAGGGGAAACGTGGATGGGCAGAAGCAGGTCAGTTCTGTCTGACTGGTCCTCCAGTAAGGTGACTATGTTCAGAGGTCTTCGACTTGTGTGTGAGTGGTGGCTGGAGGGCAATTTTGTTTTGGGGAGGGGAGCTTATTTTGATTTGTTTTGATTTGTTCTTTCCTGACTTTTGCCCCCCTCCCCCTTTCCCTTAGAAGAAAATATTTGAAAGTCAACAAAAACCAGTAGCTTAGTAACCGTGGAATCCCCCTGAGCTCAGGAACCAGGCGCCTGGGCGGGCAGAATGACATCTGGGAACAGTTGGAGGGGGAGGGCGGGCTCTCCCCACAGTCCCTGGCACACCCCCGTCGCGACGCGCCCGTGACACCTTGCGGAGCCTGCGGCTCAGCCCATTCTCGCCCGCTAAGCCGCGCGGATCGCTGGGCGAGGGCCCGGCACTGAGCACCTTGCTAGGAGCCGTGGGGGCGGGGGGCCGGCATCAGGTACTCAGTGGGGCCTTCCCAGGGAACCCCGCGCACCCTGAGAGCCCAACAGCCCGCCCAGCCCCGCCTGGCTCGGCCCCCTGCCCGCCCCCAATCCCCTTTGCCAGAGCCGCTCAGCCGGCCGCCTTGGGCAGGAAGACCCCCGGGACTGCGGTCGCCCCGGCGCCCCCAGCAGACACCTGCCGCGCCCCCCGCGCTGGGCTGCGCTCAGCCTGGACCCGCCAGGGTCCCCACGCCTCAGCTGGGCGCTGTCTCGGTGGGCCGCACCGGACGCAGCTGTTCCGGCCTGTTTGAGTGTCGGTGGCTCCCACACCCTCCCAGTACAGCGCCAGAATTCCTCTGTTGGTTTCAAAAGCAACGGCTCGGTGCGCGGGCCGCCCCTGGTTCGGTGCCCAATGCCCCACGGCGGGGTGGGGGTGGGGGCCCGGAGGACCCCAGAGCCCTTGCTCCTGTTGGAGGTCTAGGGCGCCGCAACCCCGCCTGGCCCCACCACTCCGTGTGATATCTTCGCGCCTGCCTGGGCCCCTGGCCCTGTATCGCCTGATTTTACCCCAACTGCCACTATGTTGGGGGCTTACCGTGTGCCAAGCGCTGAGCTTTCTGTGACATATTCAAACTAACAAGCTTGTGCCGCAGTTCAGGAAACCCAGTCTCTGGAGCCAGAAAGGGGTGTGTCCAAGGCCCTCTTTCTAGTGGATTCAAACACAGCACCCCCCCCCCCAAACCCCCCAGCCTCCGGGTCTGATCCTGTGAGTTCAGGCTTTGATATCAACCAGTCCCCTCCCGTTCTGGGGGTGGAGGGTGGGCACGTAGGAATGGAGTCAGAGGCTCAGGTGAGGAAAGAAGGGCTAAGTTAGCAGTTTGCCGCCCACTGGTCTCCCAACGCTCACTGGATGGGCTTTCTAGAACTCAGAGCTGACACAGCTCCTTGCCCAGGCTCTCTGACCCCACGAATCATTGTTCCTCCAGGGTTTCACCCAGTCAAGGGAGAGCCAGATGACTGGAAAGAAGACAAGATGAGAACAGGCCAGAGCTGGGTTGAACCCGGCCAGTGCCACCACCTAGCTGTGTCACCCCAGCCAATTTTTTAACGTCTCCCATGCTCCGTCCTTCCTTCATTCCCCAGCACTGACTGAGCACCTCCAGGTGAGTGGACCGGCCAGGAAGTGTGCAGGTGAACAAAGCAGCCTGGGGGTCCCTGATCTCCTGGAGCCTATATGCCAGAGCAGGAAGACAGGTCACAAACTAGCATAACAAATAAATAAGCACTAGTTACAGATGAAATAAAGGCTCTGATGGAAACTGAACCAACAAAAGGAGGCAAGGGAAGGGGAATAGTGGCAGAATTTCATGGATGTCCAGGTAGGCCTCTTTGGGGAGCTAAGGTTAACATTGGAGATGAGACAGAAGGAAGAGAAGGAATCCTCTTTCTGTAAAATGGTGTTGATACATTATTATGAAAACCACATTTCTGACACATAGTAGGTACTCAGTAAATATGTACCAGATGAATTAATGGTATACCCTATGTAAAGCACCTGGTGATTCAGCAGGCCCTACACACATTCCTGCTCTTTGGAGAAGACCCGAGTTCCTGGAGATGTTGACTCTCAATTTTGAAATCCGAGCTTCATTCTCCTTTGATTTTCATTATAAAATTGAAGATGTGCTCCTTTGGGGAAAATTCTGAGGATCTAGACTGAATAAAATTATAGTTAAGAATGTAGAAAACCTTTTAAGATAGTGTATTTAAAGGAAAAGTGATCATTTCTGATGAAATATTAATAGTTCTGAAAATGTCACTCAGTGTTTGTGCTGCTTAGCATTTGGTTGGCTAACACTTATGCTTAGAGCAGTATGCCAACAGCCCAGCACTGCCCAGGCCACAGGATTCTGGAAAGTTAGCCAGCTCACTCACTACTGTTCTTTCTCCCCTTCAGCAGGAGACTAGGCAACAGGGACTAAATTGGAAAGGATTGCAAAAAAATATATATATATATAAAAATAAATAAATAAATAAATAAAATGCAGCAGAGACAGGGAATAAAGATAGCATGTTTCTTGGAGCACAGAATCTTTCTAGAAGATTCTGCAAAGGGTGCCTGGGTGGCTCAGTCAGTTAAGCATCCAACTTCAGCTCGGGGCATGATCTCGCAGTTTGTGAGTCTGAGCCCAATGTAGGGCTCTGTGCTGACATCTTAGAGCCTAGAGCCTGCTTCAGATTCTGTGTCTCTTTCTCTCTCTCTGCCCCTCCCCCGCTTGTGCTAACTCTTTCTCTCTCTCTCTGAGAAATAATAAATGAATAAACATAATAAAAATAGAAGATTCGGTGAAAAACTTAAATGCAATAATTAGAAATAGCATAAAACTATGTCCAATATGGTAGCCACTTGCCACATGTGGCTATTTTAAAATTCTATTTTAATGTAAATTAAGTTAAAATTGTAGCTCCTTAGTTCGATCAGCCACATTTCAAGTGCCATATGGGGCTTTGGGGCTACCATTTTGGACAGCACAGAGAACATATTCTTTGTCCTAAAACACATGGACTCTAGAACCAGACTATCTGGATTCAAATTCTGAGTTCATGTGTTCTGGCAATGGAGGCACTCTGTGCCTTGGTGTATTTGTTCTCTAGGGCTGCCATAACAGAGTATGACAGAATGGGTGGCTGAAACAATAGAAATTTATCTCTTCGCAGTTCTGGAGGCTAGAAGTCCAAGATCAAGGTGTAGAGAGGGCTGGTTCCCTCTGAGGCCTCTCTCATGGGCTCATGGATGGCTGTCTTCTCCTTGTGTCTTCATATGGTCTTCCCTCTGTGCATGTCTATGTCGTCCCCTTCTTATAAGGACACCAGTCATATTGGAGTAGAGCCCACACTAATGATCTCATTTTACCTTTACCACTCTTTGAAGGTTCTATTTCCACTTACAGTCATATGGTATCTGAGGTACTGAGGGTTAGGACTTGAACATATGAATTTGCAGGGATACCATGTAGCTCACAACACTTGGTCTCATCTATAAAATGGGATGATAAAGAACACCCGCTTTGTAGAATTGTAGATATACCGTTACTAATAACTATTTAACACATGGAAAGTCCCTAGAATGCCTGGCACATAGGAGGCCCATAAAAGTGCTGTATGCTATTCGTTCCTTTGTTGATTACATTGAAATGTGTGCTCCTGAAGTTTCTAAATAACAGCTTCTGTGCTATATGTAGCGATGGAGGACTTTAGCTGTACTGGGAAAATTGCTCTGTGATGGAGGGACAGACTCAAATCATCAACTAAGCCTCTCTAGGCTTGGTTCATTTTTGAGCACCTGTCATGGGCCAAGATTGTTCAAGGTGCAGAGCTAGGAGATGAATAAGATCTCTTTCTAGCTTAGACATTGTTACAGGCAAGTGTAGGGAGCCAAGTGTTCCGTAAGTGCTTGGTACACAGCAGATGTGGGGAAAACTGAGCTTATTCCAGTCTCGTTCAATATAGGTAGCTGTGTTTCTCCAGTACGTATAGATCTATGGGCCCAGCTCAGGAAATGGTGTCCATCTCCATTGGACACTTCACTTCAAACTCTGGAAAAGGGCAGGGACCAGGCCTCTCTTCAGCACCTTGAACAGTGGGTTCAATTTGTTTGGGCAAATTCTTCAATTGCCTGTTACCGCCTTTATTATCCTGAGCAGGTGGTTTAACCTCTATATATCTCAGTTTGCTCATCTGTGAAACAGGAATAATACAATACTGACCTCATAGAGTTGCTTTGTGACAGCTGAGATAATAATGCAGGACACAGCTTAGAACAGGTACCCAGTGAATATTAAGCTATCATTATTTAGGATTCAGAGATTCTTGCTTTTCTGTTTATAAGCAGGAAAGCCTCAGGAAGCAGCAAATCTCCCTCCCAAGTCTCTGGCCCAAACCTTTCCTCGCCCAGCTTCCATCACTGACACTAACACAGCCAGGATGGCCAGGATCCAGGTTGGGCATGGCCTGTGCTCTGTGAAGACCTTCATAGGTGCGAAACCAGCTTCCTCCTATAGGCCCTATCCCTCATCTAACATATGTATATATATATATTTTAATTTTTTTAATGTTTTATTTATTTTTGGGACAGAGAGAGACAGAGCCTGAGAAGGGGAGGAGCAGAGAAACAGGGAGATACAGAATCCAAAGCAGGCTCCAGGCTCTGAGCTGTCTGCACAGAGCCAGACATGGGGCTGGAACCCATGAACTTGAGATGGTGACCTGAGCCGAAGTCGGAGGCTTAACTGACTGAGCCACCCAGGCGCCCCTCATCTAAAATATTTTAAACACACCCACCTCTCACCACAAATATAACTTTTTGGCTGTAAAATAAATTTGAAAGGCTTTTTGCCATTTTGCTTTTGAAAATTTTTGGCCATGAGTAGTTTATTTCATTTATGGCCGGCTGTGATTTCTTACCCATCTCGGTGCCCACCTGGGAAATCTTGCACAGTGAGAGAAGTCCAACCTCAAATTGTTATCAAATGAAATGAAATTTTTATGACTACTGAATTCAACAGTTAATGAAGTTGACATAATATTGCATTTTGCATTTAATTAAATATTTACTGATTTTAATGTTATAGTTTTCTACTTGGTATTGTGGAGCTAATAAAAACATTTTTAGGCTTCAAATTTTCTTGTAGGCTCTAAAAACCCACAGAGAAATCCCCTGTGTTACCAGGCCAATGATGCCCTAATGGGTCAAGCTGCCCAGAGCAGAACCCACGCATAGGGAGCTCCCAGGGAAATCTGAAGGACAAACCATCAGAACTGGAGCAAGAGGAAGATGTAGCCATGTGTCACAGGAATAGGTGTCCCCTGGATATTGTCCCAGCCACTGAACCCAGCCACAGAGCAGCCAGTCATTTCTAGGACTTTGAAAAGGACACCAGAATGCTCTAGAAGCAATGCTATGACCCTGTGACTTCTCTCTCTCGGCAACATCATCAGTAATTCTCACCATTGTCCAGGGGATATCAGCCCTTATTCTTGCCTCCCTTCCTTGCCCACATGTGAGGAGACTGTTGAGAGCTTAGGCTGTGGTAGCCAACACACTTGAATTTGAATTCTTGCTTTGCTACTTCCTATGGAGTGGCTTTACACGTGCTTAACTTCTCTGGCATTTTATCTTTCATCTGCAACATGGTGGTTAAAAGAACAGAAGGTTCAGAGAGGGAGAGGTTCAAATAGGAAAACGCAAAGTTTCTCGGCACAGTGCCAGGCTCACAGTGTGCCCACAATAACAGATACTGATTAATGTTATTATCAGCTATTAAAGTAAAAACAGTAGCTTACGGGATCTCCATTTAAAGTCAGGGACAAGGAAGGCCATAGTTGATGGAGGCAAAGAATACATCTTGGCAGTGGGGGCAAAATAAGGTAGCAAAAAAGTCAGAATGCATTTGACCTTTCACTTTCTGTTCTGGCTTTCCCACCAGCCTCATCGTGACGGGTGCTCCAGGAATTCTGGAAAGGCTTTATGTGGGATCCTTCTCAACTAGAAGCTTGGTGTTCTGCCCTTCCTTTCATAACTTCCGGGCCAGGATACTGGTCACCAATATGCATTCATTTAAGATTTATACTAGTTGAGTGCTGAGATGATTTGAGGCACCTTTCAGATTAAAAAGTAAAAATTACAGCATTGAAGAATAAAGCAGAACTGACTCCTTCTAAAGAACCCAGAAAGAGTTGCTACTCTCAGGCACCTGAATTGGTCAGAACACACGGAGGTAATAAGGTAATAAAACTGAGTATCCTTATTTGTCAGCTAAAGCAAAAATGGAAACACGTCGGAAGGCAGAGTTTTTATTTTCTGACAGCAGAAAATACACATCTTCATCTGTGGAGACAAAATGTTTCCTGGAAATAACCCCAAGCATGAATTTATCATGAGTCCTTGTATAAAGGACACTGAGTGACATAGTGGGCAATATATTCAATTCTGTTTTCATAAAGACAGAAATGCCATTAAGTTGGTCAGTTTCTCACATCAGGGTTCTCTGAAGACATAGAGCATAACATTAAATCATAACTCAGAGAAGGCATTTCTTTGAGGAACTCAGATAATGAAGTCTGGGGGAGACACCTTTGGGTCCATTCCACAAACATTACTGAGCACCTAGTCAAGCATCCATCCATCCATCCATCCATCCATCCATCCATCCATCCATCCAGAAAAGCTCTACTAAATGCCTACCGTGTACTAAGCACTCTAAGTGGCACTGGTGAAGATTGCTTGCAAGAGCTGACACCTGGACCAAGTTCTGAAGGACAAACAGGAGGGCGCCAGCCACAGCAGGAGGAGCAGAGCATTCCAGGCAGAGGGAGCAGCCTGCACAAAGGCCCAAGGCGATGGAGAGAGAGAAAGCATGCTCATCTCAGGAGCATAAGGGCCTACACATGGCTAGAGCATGGGTGGGTGGGTGCGGGGAGCAGGGAGACGGGGCTGGATGAGCAGGCAGGGGCAGGTAATGGAGGCCCCTGTTTGGACAATCTAGCAGGGAGCTAGGACTTCACTCTGTAGGTCATGGGGAAATGTCCTGGGAAGGTGTGGGAGCTGTGAATCAGGGTAGTGCTTTTGAAATCACTGGTGGCAAAGAGGAAGCTGTGCTGAATGGGGCAAGAGCAGAGCTGGGGCATTTGTGATGTGGCTATTGTAAGAAACTGGAAAGAAAGACCGGGAGAGCCCTCACTGGGACCTGGGAGATATTAAGAAGGAAGAATTTAGATGATTTGGGGGCTGCCTGGATGGAGGGGTTGAGAGGGCCCGGGATGAGGTCCCGGGTTTTGGGCTCAGGAGCCCGTGGACATGGAGGCACTGAGCAGAGAGGGGTGTGTGTGTGATGACAGGTTAGAGGCAAGGGGAGTGGAGATGCGAGCAGGCTAGGGCACAGTGTCCTGCAGGACATCCACAAGGGGAGGATGACAGACACACTGCAGGTACTAGGGACTCAGACCTTCAGGAGGAGGTTTCTGCCAGAGGCAACTCCCAGTCCAGCAGGGAGCAGCGGGGACAGTGAGAAATTGGACAATTACAGAGCCTAGAGAGTGCAGAAGGGAGATCTCCTGCCCCTCCTGCCCTTCTGCCTGCATCCTGAACTACAGAAGCCTCACTCTGTCTCCCAGACAGGCCGCCTCTCACCTGTCTCTCTCCCTAAACTGAGCCAGGAGCCCCCCTCCTTTCCATCACAGGCTGTATCTCTCCCAGAGTAATTAACCCGTGCTTTGTTGTTTAACTCCCTCTTCAATAAACTATCAACCCCCTGAGGGCAGGGACTACTGGCCTTGCCTTATTCTTCTTTGTATTTGTTACCGCAGCACCTAGCAGGGAACCTGGGGTGCAGATCAATGTGTCAGACAAGAGCAAATGAATGAATGAATGAGGAGTAAGCCAATGACTACAGAAAAAAGCACGGAGGGGTGTGTAACGATACTGCTAGCTGCTGTGACATGCTCCCAGTATTTCAGTGACTTAATACTGTTAGAGATCATTTCTCAGGGGCACCTGGGTGGCTCAGTGGGTTGAGCACCTGACTTCAGCTCAGGTCATGACCTCGCAGTTTGTGAGTTTGAGCCCCATGTCGGGCTCTGTGCTAACAGCTCAGAGCCTGGAACCTGCTTGGGATTCTGTGTCTCCCTCTCTCTGCCCTCTCCCCGGCTCACACTCTGTCTCTCTCAAAAATAAAATAACCATTAGAAAAAAATTTTTTTAAAAGATAATTTCTCAGATAAGGGTGTGTTTCTGGTGTCCCTGTTTGGTGGTGATTTTCCTCCACACAGTGATTTGGGATCCAAGCTTCTTCCAGCTTGTGACTCTGCCATCCCCAAGGGATCCACATACTCCGTACCATCCAGCAGATGGAGAAGGAAGGATGAGAAAGTTTTATGGGGTTAGCCTTGCAGTGGCTCACACCACTTCTGCTTACATTCCTTTGGCTGGAACCTTGTTTCATGACTTCACCCAACTACAAAGGGGACTGGAAAATGTAGCCACTTCTCAGTGACACTTCAGCACTATTGACATTGTTGACTGAGTAATTTCTGGGGGAGGGGGAGAGCCTCCCTGGGCATTGTCGGATGTTTCGCAGCATCCCTGGCCTCTACCCCCTAGATGCTAGTAGTACCCTCCAGTTGTGACAGCCAAAGCAGGTTGCAGACATTGTTAAATGTCCCTTGGGAGGCAATATTGCCCCTGATTGAGAACCATTGCTGTAGGTCATGGAACAGGAAGCATGAATTTTTGAGATCCAGCTAGCTGGCCATGCTGCAAGAGGCACCCAGCAGTGGGAGTGTGTGTGTGTGGGGTGTTAGGAAAGGCTCCCTGGGAGAGGGGACACTTGAGCTGAGTGATGGTTAAGACCATTTACTCCACACAGTGAGAGAGGAATGGTACTGCAGTCAGAAGAAACAGCGTGAGTAAAGGCACGGAGGCATGATAGCATATAGCTGATGACAGCCTAGAATTGCCCTTGTCCTGTGCATTATGGCCTCTGACAAACTGAGGAGAATTCTCTCCTCTCATGCCACTGATGTGCGTGCTGTCCCTTGCCTTGTATCACAAACAGATTTTTCTGCAAGAAATGTCAGAATGTGGTGGCCCCAGCATTTGGTGGCCCTGGAGGAAGGGCTGACTATGGGCCCTTCTCACGTCTCCCTCCTGGATTCTATGGCCCACAGCCTCATCACGCTTTGTTCTAGGCTTTTTCTTCCTCAACCCTTGCTGTCACCTTTCTTTGGAAGCAGATCACTGTCATCTCCACAGTGACAGCCTTGCTCTGGGGAAATACCAGCTTCTGTCTGATCATGCTCATGATTTCAAATCCCCACCCTCCACTCAGACCCCAGGCTTTTCCTTTGAGCCCTTGCCTTTGTAGTCCTTCTCTTCAGTCTTGCTTGCCCCTCAGCCTCCATTTCTGCCCTCACTGTAAATAGTGTATTTGCCCCACCTCCTACCCCTGGACTTCAGAAAGCTCCTTCATTTTCTTCTTAGGTCAGAATGAAAATTTCAGGGCATCAAGTCTACAGCCCCTATTTGAATAGGGCTGAATTCTCCAGCGCATCAGGTCTTGTTTTCTTTCTAAAACAAACTCTGATCTTATCTAGATATTAGGCTTATCTTGGCGAGTCACTATACTGCATTGGGCTTTTTTGCAACCTGATATTGTGGAGTCATCTTGACCCGTGGCTGCCTACCGCTCTGGGGAGAACGGAAGGGGCATATAGGAAGCCAGCCCCCAGGAGCTGGGCTGAGGGCCACACTTGTCTAGGCAGAGGGCTGTTATCACCTTTTGGACTGCTGCCTCTCCCTTGCCCTGCAAATGTTCCCAAGGCTCCCATCTTTGTCTGCGCCCACATCACTTCAAGCAAAGACTACTGCGGTAAGCTCCTAGCGCACTCCCCTTTTCTGCCATGAACTTCCCATCTCTTCCCTACAAAGTCAGCGTACATGCCAGGCTGTGCCCCTTGGCTTCTACTTCCTAGAAATAAAAGTCCACCTTTCCAGAGTATCTCCTGCTAAAGCAGTCACGCTATACACAGCCTTAACAAATCTCTCTTTAAATATATATTCTGACCATTGTGCATTTGCTTTCTCTCCTCCCTCCATCCAAAAAGTCCTCTCCTCCTGTTATGAGCTGAATTGTGTCTCCTTCCCTAAATTCCTATGTTGAAGTCCTAAGCCCCAGGACCTCAGAATGAGGCTATATTTGGAGACCGGGTTTAAAGAGGTAATCAAGTTAAAATGAGATTAAGGTGGGCCCTAAGCCAATGACTGGTGTCCTTCTAAGAAGAGGCAAATTGGACACAGACACATATGGAGGGGAGACTATGTGAAGACATAGGGAGAAGGCCCTCTACAAGTCAAGGAGGGAGGACTCAGAAGGATCCAACTTTGTGGACACCTTGAACTCAGACTTCTAGCCTCTAGAATTGTGAGAAAATAAATTTCTGTTGTTTAAGTCACACAGTGTGTGTGGCAACCCTAGCAAACTAATATACCTCTTATTTCCTACTGCTTAAGACCAAAATCCAAACTTCTCACCATCCCCTATGATTCTGCATAATCTGGGTCCTGTGCTCCCACCTCCTCCCTCATCTCCTGGGTGTCCCCTCTTCCTCACCTTCATACAGGCCCTCACCCTATCTCCCCTGTCCCTATCCCTTTTCAGGGGCCTTGCTCATGACCCCTGTACCAAAAACCCCTTTCCACCTCTTTGCATGGCTGTGTTGCTTAATTTAGATCCCACTTTCAAGGTCACCACCTCAGAGAGGTCTTCCCAGACCTCCTATTTGAGTTAATATTCCCCCCATATTCTTTCTCATGGCATCATGAACTTTTCCTTCATTGCATCCTTAATTTGTAACGTTGTATGTGTTTATTTACCGCCTATCTTCATCAAGCCAGGAACTGTTCACATGGGTGTATATTCATTATCTAGTACAGTGTCCAGCATGTAATCATGCTCAATAAATATTTGTTGAGTAAATCTTCACCTTGCCAAAGTCTCTATCCAGCCCTCAGGGTCCAGCCAAAATCCTACTTCCCTCCTTAAATGAGCCTTTCAATTCTCCAAGTCCAAGACCCGCTTACTCTTGACATGTCTCTGAAACATGTCCCTTGTGTCATAGTGATCACCACTGCCGTGTGTGTGGGGATCCCCCCTGTGCCCCACATCCTCCCCAGCTGGACTACACACTGTGCGTGTCTGCATTGTCCACAGCAGAGGCTGGCACAGGGCCCAGAGCCC